ATCCTGGATCTTGCTCTGTAGCCCAGGCTGGCCTTGAACTCACAGAGATCCGCCTGGCTCTGCCTCCCGAGTGCTGGGATTAAAGACATGTGCCACCACCGCCCAGAGTATTTCCTTATCTTCCTTTTCAAACTACTTTGAAAAAGTAGTTATGATGCTCCAAGTGTTTCATGTACACATTAAATGGATTCACATTCATTCATTTTAAAAGCCAGGCATGGTGGTGAATGCTGTAATCACAGTACTCTGGGAAGCTGAGGAGCTGAAGCAGGCATATCACTGTGAGTTCAAAGCTAGCCTGGGCTACATAACAAGAACCAGTTTCAAGGTGTGGAGATGAGAGGAAAGAAGAAAAAATGAAGGAAGAAGGGGTGGGGGACAGGAGACACAGAACTTACTCAGAAGAGAATCCTCATTGGGCCACACAGTCATCCCAATGCCTCCCTTCTCTCTGTAAGCAGTGATGATTTGGGTGTGAGGTGGCCAGTTCAGAATCTCTGCTTCACTTCTGAGGTAAAAATGTACTGGTGGCGCACACCTTTAATCCCAGCACTCGAGAGGCAGAGCCAGGTGGATCTCTGTGAGTTTGAGGACAGCCTGAACTACCAAGAGAGTCCCAGGAAAGGTGCAAAGCTACACAGAGAAACCCTGTCTTGAAAAACCAAAAAAAAAAAAAAAAGTACTCTAAAATTTCATGGTGAAATCCAGTTCCTTACCTCAGGAACCAGCCCTACAAGTCTTGTTTCCGCCTGCATCTCCCCAGTGCACCCCTCCATCCACTCCAGTCAGGCTGACCACAGCCGTGCCCCTAGATCCTACAAAGTTTACCGGCAACCTCCCTGTAATTAGCGCCATCGGCTGGGGGCGGCGGGAGTCACATAAAATGTCCCTTTTCTGAACTGAACTGTGCTGATTTTCTGGCATTTAATATGATTTTTGAGATTTTAAAGGAATTAAGCCAGGCATGGTGGTGCATGCCTTTAATCCCAGCACCCTGGAGGCAGAGGCAGGCGGATCTCTGAGAGTTCAAGGCCAGCCTGGTCTACAAATGGAGTTCTGGGACAGCCACAGCTACACAGAGAAAATCCTGTCTCGAAAAACCAAAGCAGCCGGGCAGTGGTGGCGCACGCCTTTAATCCCAGCACTCGGGAGGCAGAGCCAGGTGGATCTCTGTGAGTTCAAGGCCAGCCTGGGCTACAGAGTGAGCTCCAGGAAAGACGCAAAGCTACACAGAGAAACAGAGAAACCCTGTCTCGAAGAAAAACAACAACAACAAAAAGAATCAAAGCACCTTATTAAAAAATTCCTGTGAATGTTGGGTTATTATTTAAGTTAAATTTTCACGTCTTGTAATTTGGTAATTTGAGACTCTAAAATTAGTACTGTAATCCTTATTGTGTTTCTACTGGACAATGCTGTTCTTTTGGGTTTTTTTGTTTGTTTGTCTTTTGTCTTTTCCCAGACGAGAACTCACTTATAAAGTCATGGCTGGCCTGGAACTCACTGAGTATAAACCAGGCTGACCTAGAACTCACAGAGATCTTCCTGCTTCTGCCTGCAAAAGCTGAGATTAAAGGTGTGCATTGCCATAACCCTGCTTTTCTGGCTTGAGTGGTGTGGATTGTTGTTTTGTGTTGAGACTGGGCTTTCGTAGCCCAGGCTTGCCTGGATATCACTAAGTAGCTCAGGATGACCCTGAACTCCCGATCCTCCTCCCTCAACACAGCATCACACCCCACTCTTCCAGGCTCTCAATGCTGTTTGTTTGTTTGTCTATTGATGGTGCAACACCAGCCTGCAAGACAGAGCACTCACATCCCGATTCCCAGGCATTTCAGACAGAACCTGGAGCACGTACGGACTCTGGACTGGTTTTGGTTTTGGCTTAGCTTTTTTTTTTTTTTTTTCATTTTCGACCTTGCTGTTTGTTCCTTATCCGGAGGAGGAAGCCACGTCCCGCCTCCCCCAGCTCTGGGTCTGGGTCCCTCCAGCTCTACGCCCACTGCTCATCACTGACCCAACGCTCTGGGAGGAAGGGGAGCTGGATACACACGTGACAAAACCTCCTTATCATCCTATTTGCGGGGTGGGTGCGGGGCAGGACAGAGTCCCACAACAGCAAAGGAAGCGGGCGAGCGCCGGGCTGCCGCGCCCTCTTTCTAGGAAACCCGCGGCGCAGCCAGCCTCCCGCGGTGCACTTCTCCCTCCGGCCACACGGCGGCAGGAGAGCGCGCGGCGGCCGTGGTACAGTCCGCCGTCCGGTCCCCCCCGCTCTTCCGCGGACAGTGGGCTCTCCCAGGTGTAGAAAAGCATTGTGGGAGCGCCGGGCTTCCTCTTTCCGCTCTCACGTGGCGCGCAGCATGGCGGTGCCGCACGCTGGGGTTCGGTGGCTGCTGATGGCGCGGGAATCTGCAGTGACCGCGGCGGCTTTGGGCCTCCCGTCCCTTCCCGGGCGAAGGGGAGACGGCGCGGACTCGGCGGCCGTGTGAGGAGCCCGGCCGGCGGGAAAGCCAAGCGCCGGCCGTGATGGAGATGGTCACCGTGTGTGCAAAGGTGCAAATGTCCGCTGGGCGAGGGCGGAGCGGACATCGGAGTCCGCAGGGGGTGTTGGTTTCCCCTTTCCAGGGTTTGCGGAGTGGGAAGAGCCGGCCCGAGAGGCGCTGTGCATGCAATGCCGCCTTTGTGTTGCCCGTTCACCTTCGGTCACTAGTGAATGTGGTGTCAAAAAAGGCATAAAGTGACGCTTTGCAGCCTTTTCCCTACCCTGGAGTTCGGTGTCTTGGGTGTGGAGGCTGCGTAAGTGACAAAGTCCCCCGGAACTTGGGTATGCGGGTGAACATACTGCCCAACGTCGGGAGGGCGGTTGCCTTGAACTGGTTCATACTCTTCTGGCAGGTGGGTGTCTGAAGCTGAGCCACACTCCCAGGACGACACGCGGGAGCCAAGGAGGCGTAAGGTAGGAGACGGCAAAGTTTGGGGCTTCCTTTCCAGTCCGAGTGCCCCCCGAATACCAGTGTTAGTTAACTGGCTCGTTTGCGTTGTCGCTGCTTACCCGAAGCTAGCCCGGAAGGTAACTGACAAAGGACATAACCTCTGCCCGTTGGCTTACTTTTAGGGATGTTAGGCTGTTTTTTCTGAGTACGTAGTATTGAACAGAAATCTTGAATGTACAATGTGGTGGTCTGCGTATTAGGAAAAAACCCGCCACATCTGTAAGTTCAATGGCTGTGGTTGGGATTTATGTTAATAAATACTTAAGGCAGATGAGTAAAGTTTATATAATTTTTTTTTCTTTTAGGGTGTCCTTGATGATTTGGAAATTTGATCTTCAGAAACATGGATGACTTAAATTTTCTAAGAGGTCTGTCAAGACACTGCATAGATGAATGCATTTTGTAACAAGGCTATGAATAAAATATTTAATATACTGCTTTGAGTCTTGTGTGCTCAATGACGTGCTGCCAGAGCGCCTTACTGTGGGTTCCTATGTAACAGCTAAAATGATAAACCTTTGCTTAACAGGAAAGGATAGATAATACATTGGGGATTCATTAGTCGTAAAATTTACTTAAAACACTTTCCTTGCTGGAGTAGAACATCCTAGATGGAAAGTTTCCTTTGAGAGGAATCCAGTCAGATCTGACCAAGTCAGGGAGACCTGAGGAAACATTTGGTGAGGGCGGGTGCCATTGCAAAGTTGGAAAGGTAGCATTGTGCAAGCGCCTTGAAGTGTGATATCAGCGACTCTGTTCTGGTTTCAGAGATGGGAGTGTCAGCAAGAAAGGTTGAATAAGCAGTAAAGAGACCAGACCGCTAAGGCTTGGGTTTTATTAAAGCAAGATCAGGAATAACGGGAGAGGGTAGTTCCAGGGAGGTGGGCCAGTGAGGTGAGCTGCAAAGGATGTCCTGTAGAAGCAGACTAGAATTACAGCAGGGTGTGGGGGGATGAGACATGAGACTGCAGACACAGAATGGAGGGAGCCCTTGGGTTTGGCTTGCTTCTGTGTAAATAAAGGCCACAGTTGAGTTGAGAGAGCACTGTATCACTGAGCTGTCTACCCCAGTTGAGAGGGGTTTTAGTGAACATTAGGGTGCTGAAGATGTCCTCAAAGGAATAGCTGGAGGCATTGTTGGGGCAAAGTTGACTTACTGGGCTGTAATAAAACTGAATGGCTAGAGGGGACAAGTCGACAGGCTCCTAAGCCGGATGGAGGGTGAGACAGTAAGGAGGGAACAATTTCAAGGAGGCTGGAGACGGCCTGCCACGGGAAAAGATGGGTTACAGCTGACAGTGGTGATACAGAAGGTTCTTATTGTCCCGATTTAAAGTCACCTTGCACAGGGAAAAGGTCCAGAACTTGGGCACATGGGGGAGGGGTGACAGTCCAAACAGGCTTTTTTTTCTCTCAGAAAACACAAGACAACACTTAAATCAACACTTAAGGGCTTTTTACAATTTGTAAATAACAATTGGGACTTAATGCCACAAAATACAATATTACAAACAGCTTTATGGGGATAAAAGTCAGGACAGTCTGCAGGCCAGGAGTCCAGGGACTTCCTTCAGAGCCATCTGGTCCTGGCTGTGCTGGAGATGAGGTGCACGGAGTCGGAGGGGTTTCGGGAAAGACTGACATCCAGTGAGTTCATAAGGTCCTTCCAGTCAAAAGGCCCCACAGCACAAGAATGCTGTACATAAACCTTAAATGCTTATTTTCTTGTGCTAAAGACATGTCCGAGATATGTGGGTAGTATCTAATTCACAGTTTCGAAAGGAGCAGGGGCACACAGCATTTCCACTCCGGGTCAAGTCTCGGTCTTGAGGCGGGCAGCCTGGATAGTTTTTATTGTTTTTACTGTGTGTTTTCCAGCCAGATTGATTGTAGATAACTGAGGTTTTTCTTCAATCAAGCTGTCTTTAGACCCATTTCTTCTCTAGAAAGAGATTCGACACCAGAAGAAAACAATCAGCTTGAGTACTTTTAGAAATACACGAGAAGCTGGGCATAGAGGGGCACACTTGTATAATCCCAGGAAGAATAAGTCCAGTAGCAACATAGTGTGGCCACCTTAAATTCATTCACTGATAACATTGCAAGTTGTAATAATGCAAAGAAAAGTCTATAATACCCTTTGAAAGTTCCCTCTAGTTAACTGCAAAAGCAAATGTGTTTGATCTTGGTCTGACAATTGGGTACACAGCAGTTTTAGTCATTACTAAAAAGACTTCCTTAACTAGGCTTTCTTTTATGAGCAAGGCCAGAGGAGCCCAAAAGCCTGAGACAGTTACTGTACAGTGTGGTGGCTTAGAGTTAGTTCCCTGTCATCGGGAACTGAGTGTCACTGTCCAGGCTGAGGAGCCTTGGAGGTTTGCATTATCAAGAGAGCTTAATTGACCTACCTGAGCATGGACACCATACCCAGGACTTCTGGAGTCGGAACTTGTACACAACTCCTAATGTCAGATGAAAACCCAAGGATGCCACCAACAATGCCTCACAATGCTCTCTGCCCGTGCCCCCTAGGGATGCCTGAGTTTGTTAGGACTTCTCTTTCAACCATATGAATAAACATTTCCAGGACGGCCTGCCCTTTGCTGTGGAGGACAGCTACAGCAGGACCTAAGTACTTGTGTCTGCCATCCCTTTAACAGAACAGCTGTGCCCACCATTTCTCCGGCTTGAAAAAAAAAAATACCTTAAAGCACTCTTTGAAATCAGTGAAGCAATTATTTTTATCACAGTCCACGTGATTTTAGTCTTACCCTTAGCACCTCCCCCCAACCTCTAATCTTTGAGGATCTTGCACTGCTTCTTTTAATTCCTAGCAGCTCTTTTGGAGTCTGCCCATGGTTTTTGATCACTTCCTTCTGCTTGCAGATTTTGTATGTGTTTTTTTTATTTTATTTTACAATACAATTCAGTTCTACATATCAGCCACGGATTCCCTTGTTCTCCCCCCTCCTGCCCCCCTCCCCTTCCCCCCAGCCTACCCCCCATTCCCACCTCCTCCAGGGGAAAGCCTCCCCCAAGGACTGAGATCAACCTGGTAGACTCAGTC